GTTCCCCCACACTCAGAGACCCTTCCCACATCCCCAGGCCTCTCCTGCATCCTGAGCCCCCTCTCCCATCCTGAGCCCTCACTGTCCCCTGAGCCCACCCCCTCCTGGCCCCTCCAGGCCTCCCTGCCCAGGTAGCTGGTGCTGGTGCCAGCCCTCAGACTCTGGATCTCATTAAAGCACTTGTTGAACAGGCCTGCTGTTGCTGTTTCTGGTGGTGGCTGTTACTGGGGAGAGGGGTCCAAGCACAGTGAGGGCAGTTGCTAGAGCCGGGGTCCCAGCCCCCAAGACAGGGGGAGTCTTGTGGCATGATGCCTACCCCAGCCCTGGCCCAGGGTCAACTTCTCCCACATGAGGCCTAAGGTCTTTGGGTCACTGGAGCAGCACGGGTGCCCGGGCACTGCAGCCGAGCCAGGGTGGGAATCCAGACTGCCCAACAACTGAGGTCACAAGACACTTCCTCCAGTCCAGGACATCTGTGTCCCTGGGACCTGGGTGTGACATCTGGGGATCTGCTTTTGCCTATGACATCCTTCTTGCTGGTGCATGGAACCCAGAGGAACCCTTCTCCTGCAGCGCAGGGTCCATGTAGTAGCCACGCCAGCCTGTTGCTCATAGACGTGGGCTGTTCCATCCAGGCTCTGATGACAAGTGTAGTGGCTCCCATTCTGCACTGTCCCCGAGAGCTGTTGGGGCTAACCCTCCATGCACACCAGGTCCCTGTACCACACACTGTTCCCTCAAGGGAGCAGTAGAGTCTGAAGTCTCCTTCTATTTCCCAGGCAATGCCAACCTCTTCTCCAAAGAAGTAGCCTCCAACCACGCAGGAGAGGGAGTTGTTCCCCTCCTTGGCGGCCTGACCCTCAGTGCTTTCTCCCCAACTCTTGAGGGTGCCACGGCTCCTGCTGTCGCCTCGGCTCCTCTTTCTTGGTGTTCAGGGAGCCTGCACAATCCTATGTGCCCTGAGAAGCAAGCTGCCCGCTCTGCAGCAGCCAGACTCCATTCCCAGCGGGTGGTCCCCCTGCTTGTCGTGTTCATCTCAGGACGGCTGACCGTGTCTCCCCGGGTCTCGTATTGGTGGACACTGGTGCACTTCCTCAGCTTTGGACAACATGGACCTTGGGGTCCCCAGCCCGGGGCTGTGGACTGGTTGTGATCCGTGGCCTGTTAAGAAATGGCCACACAGCAGGACATGAGCAGCGGGAATTAGCTTCTCATAGGGATGCGAACCCTGCTGTGAACTGCACGTGCTAGGGGGCTGGGTTGCACTCACCTTATGAGAATCTAATGCCTGGTGGCCCCCTCCCCTCCACCCCGGTCCTTGGAAAAGTGGTCTTCCGCCAAATCAGTTCCCGGTGCCAAAAAGGCTGGGGACTGCTGGTGTTGCTGAAGTTCCGGGGCTGGAAGCCTGAGCACTCCCTTAGCGTGGAACCCAAAGAGCCTCCAGGGCAGAGCCACGTTATTCTAGAAAGGCTGTCCCATTCCTCCTCCCAGTCCCAGTCACATGCTGACGTCATCCCTGCCCTGTACTGGACAGACACCAGATGGGACATGCCCCCTTTGTGTGTAGCAGTGTGACACATGACACATGTGAGCGTGGGAGCCATCAGGCACATGTGATGCGTGGCCCAAATGCCACATCATGACAAAAGCACGCTGCCTAGTGAGCTTGAGACTCAGTTCCAGTCGTGCCCTACCCCACTCTCCCCGCTCAGTCCCTGCTGCCACTGACCAGCTCCGCGCTGGATCAGCAGTGCCCCCTGGTGGCCCTGCTTCTCCTTCGTTCCTGGGCCACTGGGGTTTTAGGTTTCTGTTCAGCATTTTGGTTATTTTTTACCAAATAAGGCACCACTTCCTCTTCAAGCTGCTGGACATCGTCTGGTGTCTGGGAAAGTTGGAGGTGTCCATGTTCACAGCCTGAAGACACCATTACATGGACACTTCCCCCTTCCCCCTTTGGACTCATGGTCATGCGGAGGGGGGCTCTGACACCAGACCAGGCCCTCCTGCACCTTCCAGGCCCTCCCCACCCCGTCCCTTCAGCCTCTGCAGGTGGGGTCTCCTCCCGAGGTGGGGGCACTCAGGCCCGGACCCTGCGCCATCCGACTGTTTCCTTGACTTCCTCCCCTCTGGTCTGCACACCGCAGACCTATGTTCACTGGGGTCCCAGAGACTCCACAAGGCCAGGGGTATTGCCAGGACCAGGCTGTGCCCCACTGTTCCTCAGTTTACTCTCCTGTCAGATGAGGAGAGGAGCGGCCCCGTGTCCAGGTTGCTGGGCCACACCGGTGGTGTCTGGAGTCTTTTCTCCCAGTGGGCCTGGAACCTGGGACATGTGGGATGCTCTGCGGGGAGCCTCTGGATGGGGCACAGTGGGAGGTGGGACCCCAGTGCTGGAAGCAAGTTGAGCTGGGACAGGTAAGAGTCCTGAAGTCCCTCCTGCGGGGACTCCGAGGGCCCTGGGGGGTCAGGACTCAGAGCCCAGTTCGTGAAGACCCTGTCTCCCCCGACAAGGTGACATCAGGTGACCAGGCCCCAGCTGGGGGGCAGCCTTGGCTGGGGACTCCAGGCTCAGACTCCCCTCCCCTGTGTGGGGGTGACAGGCAGGTCCCACAGGCAGGTCCCTCCCCCCTGGTGAGGGAGGCGGGGCCCTGCCCCATGTGAGCTGCACAGGCCCTGCCAGGGCAGCGGGGCAGGAGTCATCCTCAGGGGTCATCAGGTCCAACACGGACACGAGGTTCTGAGGTGCAGCTCCAGGCCAGGCGATCACATCCCCATGTGTGATCAAGCAATGCCCTCTGGGCCTCAGTTTCCCCACATCTAAGAGGGGACCCCTAGCCTGGAGGGTCCCACTGGGACCCTCCAGCCCTGACCTGCGATTGGATCTGAGTGGAAGCAGGGAAGTCCCTGGTGCTGCCCAGGCCCTAGTCAGCTGGGAGGATGATTAGGTAGGGCTTGTCTGGGCTGAGCAAAGTGATGGTGCCCATCTGATCTGTGGTTGCGACCTCGGGACCTGCCAGCGGATGTGGGGACAGGGACACAGTGGAGGCGGGTTGTCACGGGAACCGAGCTGTCCCACAAAGCTGTCTGGGCCATGGCTGGGACCCTCCTGAGGACTGGGCTTCTGGAGGATGAAGGAGAGGGGGCCAGTGCGCCCCACAGGAACCAGGGAGGGATCCCTGGATGGGGTGGTATAAGCACACACCTATTCTGCCTTCCCTCCACAGAGAGAAAGTCTCAGGTGAGGGTAGGGAAAAGTGCTGAGGCTCTGTCTTGACCTGCTTTGGTCTGTACAGCAACACCCTCAGCCGGCAACTGGATGACTGGGCTGGGGTGCCCACATGGGGTCAAAAAGGTGACAGATGGGGCCTGTCCGTGGAGCCTTCTCCCTGCTGCCTCCCTGCCTGACAGCAGGTGTGAGGTTGTCCACACCCTCCATCGCCAGCAGGTCCCTCCTGTCACCCTGTGGTGGGCAGACACCATGTCCCTTAGACCCTGTGGCCTCCTGCTGGGAATTGGCGAGTCTGTGACAACTGCCTGTTGCCTTCCTTCCTCGTCACAATCTTACTCACAGCCTCTCTCAGGTCCTCTGTGCAACGCATCTGTTCTTGGAGGAACGCGTGAGTGCTTCAAGTCCTTCCCCTGCAGGGGAATCGCAGAATTTATCTTAGGAAGTGGCTAGAAGGGACAAAATAGGGGACACTTCGGGACACTCATCAGAGGAGAAAGTAAGCCAAGACTAGGTGTGGTGGCTCATGTCTGTAATCCCAGCACTTTTGGGGGCCAAGGGGGTAGGGTCACTAGAGCCCAGGAGTTTGAGACTGTCTGGCCAACATAGTGAGACCTTGCCTCTAAAAAAATTAAAAAATGAGACTGGCGTGAAGGCACCCACTTGTAGTCCTAGCTGTTTGGGAGGCTGAGGCAGGAGGACAGCCTGAGCCCAGGAGGTGGAGACTGCAGTGAGCCATGACTGTACCACTACTCTTCCAGCCTGGGCAACAGAGTGAGACTCTGACTTAAAATAACAATATGGCCTGGCGTGGTGGCTCACGCCTATAATCCCAGCCGAGGTGAGAGGATTGATCTTGAGTCCATGGGTTCAAGATCAACGTGGGCAACTTGGTGAGACCTTATCTCTACAATAAATCAAGAAAAATGAGCCGAGCTTCATGGCTCATGCCTGTAGCTCAGCTATTTGGAAGGCTGAGGTGGAAGGATCATCTGAGCCCAGCAGGTCGAGGCTGCAGTGGTCCTGAGCATGCCATTGCACTCCAGCCTGAGCGACAGAGTGAGACTCTGATTCAAATTATAGTAATAATAATGGTAATAATAAATAAAAATTTTAAAATAATTTTTTTATGAAACATTTTTTATTTTAAAATTATGGGGTACAATTAAGGGTTAGGTATACAAATATGCATCATTCAGGCACCCTTGTTTATAAGGGGTGTTACCCCTGTCCCCAGACAGATATTGACTACCATTAATCCCACCACCCTTGCCCTCCCTGCCCCCCCATAGATTCCCACCACTGTCGATCCTT